CATAAAAATCTAGAAGTTTAGGGCGAACTTGAAAATCTGCATCTGGATAATGTGGACAAGTTCTCTGATGCAGACAACTTGCTCGGGCTTTGCCACTGCTCTAATGTTTGGTGTAATGGCTTCACCGTTGAATTAAATTTTTAATAACATTTAATTACAGCATATTTTGGCCATGCTAAGGCCATACAATATTTGTCCATTTAAATGAAAGAATGTCATTCCTTTGGATTACTATTATTATTATTATTATTATTATTGTTAATTTTTCCAAAGATTTGCCTAGAAATGAAAATTTTCAAAAATTGTTCCATGATTTGGACAAAGTAATAGGCTTCATATTAGACACATTGAAAAAAGTTTTGATTCCAATTAATTTGAACATTTAGCCACTGCATAAATATCAAACTTGCAATCATATATTTTTAGAAAGACGATTTTGAATGTATTAAAATGACTGACTTTGTATGCTTAATAAAAAAATTCCATTCAAATAAGAGCTTAATTGACTGTAAATTATTGATTAGAGATTCAATTAATTGTAATAAAAGAACAAGACATATATGATAGATTTAATTAAGTACAGATTTATTTTGTATTTTAATCTAAAAACGAGTGTGTTTTCAACGCTTTGGTCGGGGGGGGATATCCCTTTTTATGGGCATTGATCGAAACGGTGCGTGAAAGTTTTATTGTTTAACATAAACATGAGAATTGAGTAAAAAATTTCTAAAATGCACATGAAAGCAATAGTATAAAGTAAGTTTATCATAAAGTACGGGAACAAACATATGTACAATCGAAAAGTGTTTTATACAATAACAGATCTAAGCCACCGATGTGGTTACTAACCAATATTTTTAGAGGAGTATTGTAAATATGCGTTCACTAGTGGAAATCACCTTGTATAGCAATAAAGCAAAGCAATTGGGATATGCTTTTTGATGTAAAAGCAAAGAAAATGTTGAGGTTAAGGATTTCTCATACTTGGTTTTTTAACATCTTAACATATTCACAAGTCTCAACTTCATACAAAATAAATACCTTAATTATAAGAACATATTAAAAATTAGCATCTTATGGCTAGATAGATCTGTCCATACATTCACAAGGATTTATACATCCTTTTCCTACACTAACAAAAACTTAAACTTTAAAGTTATAAGAACTATTCCAAAATGCCAAGGAAAATGCTTTTCAAATCTAATATCGCTTTCTTGTAAACCCTTGTCGAGAATACTCAAACTTAATCCAAACTAATCTTAAGCTGAATCTGAAAAAACAAAAAAATAAAATTAAATGTGCCACAAAGCTTAGTAATTAGACTAACCATAGTTAAGGAAATGTCACTCAAAATAACATGAGCCAAAAGCAAAACAGACCAAATTGGGCCATTTCCTAGTACTCTAGAATATGGCATTTAAAGGTTCTAAGTAGCTTTCACCGAATGGTTGAAAGTAATATCAGAAATAGGGCTTTTACCTTATGCAATTAGAACTTTGTATAGATATAAGATATAAAATACATATATATTAACAATCTTTAAAACTAATGCTAATATAGTTCATATTATTACAAGTTCAAAAATAGATGTCAAAGTGTTTTCTTATTTATATACAAGTGCAAAAACAATTTCTACTTATTCATACAGAAACAGATTCTTATAAAGATAAATCTTACCATGATAGTATTCACAGGTGATTTTTGAAATCAAAAGGATCAAAATGTCTAGCTTACTATAAATATCATGCACATAAAAAGGTTCACAATCCTCCTTGACATCATATAGTGAAGTTCAAATTCTTGTTGATGCATCTAACGGGTCAAACTCCCATAAAGGACCCTACCAATTGACTAGAGGTCCATATAACATATTCCCCAGCTGTCAACTAGATAGGTCCAAATGCTTGTCAACGAATCGAACGGATCAAACTCCCATTGGTCAAATGTAAAAGGCACATCGAATATAAGCTTCATTGATGTTTCGAAAGAGGTCAAAAGTCGTATTTTCATATTCATTCAAGTAACAATAATTGATCCTATTCCAAGTTCCCAAAGGCTAATCATATGTCAATGCCAAATTTCATTTTTAGTTTCAAACGTCAAGTTCAATTAAAATACTACTTCAGAATCTACATAAAAGCACTCCAAAAGTTTACTTAATAGAATAATAGTTTCACAAAAGTTTAAAAGGTGGATAAGAGTCCACAAGAGTTCCCATGTCTCATGGTATACCAAATGCTTTCAAAATATTCTTGCTATAATTTAAAAATGCACATACTCATAAACAACTTCAATACTTGATTTTCACTTTAAAACATAGCTTTAATATTCTAATAGATAAATAAGCTTTTCACAAAATCATAAAGAACTACATTGAACAAGGACTTAACTTAGTTGCTCTAAATACTCATAAGCATGTTGAAAGTACTGTCAAGGGCACTAATCTGGAAAACTTCACTAGTAACTAAGCTTTTGGGATCATTTTAGCACACTAAGCATATGCTGGAAAAGCTTAAATCAAACTTCAATTCCGAAATGACAAAATTTGGTAGATTACAGTAATTGGAGTAATAGGTACAATGGAAGTTGTTAGAGCCAAATTAACACATATCTTTTATAATTAAAAAGGCATATGTGAAACCCCAACCTTTCACGCAAGTGTAATGTGGTCATTTTTCAAGAAATATAGCATGCATTTTCTTTATGAGCAATTGAATGAGTTTCCCTACCAAAACATTTTTAAATTTCCCTCCTTATATAGCGTTTGCATGCAAAGGAATGGAATGAAAATTTAAAGAATGTGAGAGAAAGGAAACAAAAAGAGTTAATTTTTGCAAGTGTCACATCCCATTTCTGGAGATATAACTAGTGCAAGGACCTATGTAGGTATAACCCACTAGGCCTACACAAATCTCTTTCTCATCAAGCGTACATTGCCCATACATATAAAACATACACATTATTATCAATATATTAACGTGAAATCTAGTGTGCCATTACAACGTGGTAGAATTCTACATCATGACATGTGGAAATGAGAATGAGCATTATACTAGGTACCATCACAACGTGATGGAATGCTACCTCACAACGTGTAGAAATGCAAATAAACTTTTAACTCAAAGTATTTTTCATTACTCATGCAAATATATCATCATAAAGATGTGTTTGCACGTTAGGTGCTTAACTAGGCTCGTAAGCCAAAATGAACATAAATATGCCAAATCGTTTTAAAACATATAAATCAAGGTGCTACTCATGGCTACAAACTCTTAAAGAAAACATCCATTACATAAAACAAAAAGATAAGGATCAACTCATCAATAGAACATGAGTCAACCCTTTAGGCATCAAATGGGCTACTAGCATACCTATCAGGAAAAACCAGGAGCATATCTCACATAACAAGGTAGAAAGCTACTTACTAATTTAAAAAAAATAGAGAAACTAATATGTGAGTCATAAAGACTCCGTGAGTATATACAGGAAGGAAGGGGACAAACCAAGGGAAAAAGTTTTTTTACATAAATTATCAATTGTAATATCATGACAGCCATAAATCTTAAGTTTCCTTTAAATCCTTATAAAGAATATTGTTCAAAGCCATTTCATAAAGGTTTAACTAAAACCATAGTTGTCTAAACATTTAGGATGAAATGGAAGTTGAAATTATTAGAAAACCTTATGAAAAAAGAGAGAAAACACTATTCAGTAGCTGAAATGGCAATACATCCTAGTAAAGTATAGATTCTTTTGATACAAAACGCTTTCTGGACTAAATGTATCGATATTTTCTGCACATAATGCTTTTTGGGCCATTTTGTCTTTTAAGCATGGATACATGTTCTTCATGTATTAATACTTCACTCTTAAATTTAGTTTTCTGGAACAATTTATGCACTTTCTGGCTTTAAAGGCCTTTCTAGTCTTAGGGACATTCATATAGGCTAAGATTCATCTAGACTAAGCCATATTCCATCAATTCCTCAACATTTTTATGCCACTAATCAATCAAAATCTATAAGTAATCTTCCTAAAATTCATCTTCTATACTTTACTAAAAATCATTAAAACTTAACAAACTGTGAAAGGTAGTCTGCCCAAACTCAAAGTGGATAAGGGATAGCCCCCTTATCTTGGAACTAATTAGGAGTGGTAGTCCGTCCTGACTCTTAATAAATAGGGTTTAATCTCCACTATCTTGGATTATTGAGAGCTCTTGTGAGTGGCATCCCTCCTCATCCACACTTTGGGTGGTAATCCACCTCAACTCATAGTGGATAATGGTAAAAATCCCCATAATCTTGGATTACTCATAAATATATAAGATCTACCATATCCATGACTTACATCACCATGGCTCATGCTTCATTCTCATACTAATCTTGCAAGGCATATGGAAATTTCATCACATACGATTCATATAATCATACGTTTTATATTCAAGTGCATATCACATAATCATTTCATAAACTCATGGGTGGGAATGTGTACATTCACCATAACATCTCGTCAAGCATACATGCATCTCATACTCATCATATAATCTTAAACTCATTTTGAAGAAAATAATTGAACGGCTTTGTCCCTTATTATTAAAAGTTAATACAGAAGATGATATTTATATACTTAATAGAATAGCAAAGCTCCTTTAAAATTATTTGGATTCAAATCATTTAAATAGTCATCATAAAAATGGTATTTAATTCATACAGGATAAACACCTTAATAAATCATACTTTACGTATAAAATATTTGAAAACTGGACCTCTATCATGTAAAAACATTACTCCAACGAATCCCTTAGAATTTTGACAGCACCTGCGCGATCAATCCATCATTGTAAGCATTGCTTGAATTAGAATATCGAAATAATCAAATAAACTTAAGAAGATGTATTTCCTTTCATTTTCCTTTTAAATGAGGGCTTGGGTCCATTGTATTGGGCCAGTCAGCCCAAATTACATATCAAAAATAGGTTCAGTCGATTTTAATCCCCATTTTTATCCATATTGCAACTGGTAACACGGATACCTGCGTGCTTTGGGCGGGACGACAGAGTGGGAGATACGAATATCGATAATGGTGAAGCTCACTTCGAAGTTTAAAATTTACAGGGCTTTCGTTTTCTTGACTTTTTTCTTTTTCATAAAACATTGATTTGTTTCTGCAGGCAGATTCAACTACGGATGATCTTGAACCCTTGTTCGATTACCGCCGCGTTCAGCCCCTAAATTTTGTTTGCATCGAAGGTACCCAAAAAGAATTTTCAATTGCTGTTTTTTTTTTGGCGTTTTTAATTTTTCAAGAATATCAATAATAGCATATAGTTTGCATTTATTTTTTGAATTTTAGGTTATGAATTTAAGCTCAATCATCATTGTAGTGCACGAGTTGCTGTAGTAATCGTTTGAGTTTCATTGTAGATGACGGTTCTGATGCTTCACCAGTTCCTTCGCCGAAGCGGAGGAAAATTCCGGATACTGATGTAAGATTTTTGCCTCTCCATTTATCTTGATACGAAAGTTGATCTCCCTTATCTTCAATTTATGAAAGCTGGTGGTGAATTAGGTTGTGAAAGTAGATGAGGATGTTGAAGTGATAAAGGTGGTGAATGTAGAAGAGGAGGATTGGTTGGCACCTCCTCCTATGGTTTCAACTGATGCTTTTAGCAAGATTGGTGAGGATTCAACCATAAAGGAGTTGAGGTATTATACTTACTTGCACTCTCCGGCTATGAATTGGCTGTTTTCTCGGCCGTTTTGGAGCTTTTTTAACAATATATATATATGTGTGTGTGTGTGTGTATGTTTGTGGAAATTTCTATTGTCCGTATGAGCAGTTAAAATTCTTCCTTCTTTTTTTGTTGGTTTGTGTTTTCTTCTTTCCTCTCTCATTTTTGGTTTTAAATGATTAAATCATTTGTTTATATCATTCTTGTAATAACTATTTTTAGAGAAAAGTGATTCCTTTTTGGAAACTGAATCTACTTGAGATTTGGCAGGCATTTGCAAGATTTTATGTAGCCAACTGCTCTTAATTATCTGAGACAAAGATATCTTATATCTGTTCATGTTTTGATTGTGTTTATATTGGCTGACTAGTTGACATTTCCCGGTAAACAATGACTCATCCACTGTTTTTTGTGCATGAAAATTGTTTGTGTTGCTTGTTAACATAATAGTTCTATATATTTTGAAAGGATGTTGGGATATGTGGATGTGAACCGTACTGTATGGTGGCTATTTTCTGGTTTAATGCTTCAATATAAGTTCTTTTTTTGTTTATATGACTTTTTCTATGGCACTTGTTTTTTCTATTTTAATGTCAAATGATGCATGCAGGCTAAGGAAACAGGAATTGCTTTCATTTGCTCAATCCACAAAAAACATGTTGCTAGAAGTGGAGGAATCTGTAAAAAGAGAACTGAGTGGTTCATTGAAAGCTTCTTTAGATGCTGTTGCTGAGCAACCAAAAAATCCTACCTCTGAAAGGGCCAAAATAGTTATTTCAATCCAGAACGAGGATGAATGCAAGCAGTTTCGTGTTTACATGGTATAGATTTGTGCTGCATTTTGGACTTGTATGTCAGCATTTCATTGCAGTCCTGGCTAGGGAATAGGAGAATGAAAGTTTAGCCGTCTGCTTTTTTGATATATGAATAGAAATAACTCTAGGGCAGGAGCCTGTTATCTCATAGTGTTCACATATATATAAAATCTCTAGTTTCTGGCGAGGGAATAGGAGAATGAAAGTTTAGCTCTCTACTTTGCACTTTTTAGATATATGAATAGAAATAACTCTAGGGCAGGAGCCTGTTATCTCATAGTGTTCACATTTATATAAAATCTCTAGTTACAAGCCATAGAGTTTTCAAATTGTATTCAATTCTGTGATTTATGTAACTGTTGATAAAGAAGGCTTGCATGGTTGCATTTTTAGTAAATTTAAAGAAACTGCTCTATCTGAAATGTGTAATATTTGTAAGACTTTATGAATAATTATAGGGTACTGGGGAAATACAATCTTCTTGAATAACGTGATGTGTTCACAGGGGGAAGACTCAACCTTCCCAGTTAATTTCACCTTGAAATTAAATCTGCTCTAGTTTCTTCTCTTATTTATGCTGGAGAAAGTAAGATGAATGCAAGTGCTAATACAAAATAAATAAATCTCAGACAATATTATTAACTTCTAAAAGCTAATTCTGTTGCATCTATGAAAAAGTGGTTAGAACAACAACTTAATTTGGTATCTTGACATACATGCTTGGTTCATGTCCATATTTGCCTTATTTTCTAGGATTCTTCCATGAACCTTTGATTTCTTAATTAGTATAATCTGTTTGAAGAAGCAATTCTTCCTTGCTAACATAAAATAAAGAAAATATGCTAGAATTTTTGTGCCATTGAGTGCACAAAAAATCTGTTCATTAAGTACACAGCAATCAACACTGTACCCCTTCTGTGATGGGGACAATGTTTTTTGAAACATGAGAACTTAAATATGGTTGACTGGTATAATTCCTGAATGAACGTTTAAATCCAACCAGATCTTTAATATCTTATGTTTGTATGCCTGAAAGCTTTTTGGTGTATATTGTGTTAGCTTGAACTGGCTTCTTAGGGTAATTACATTTTGTAATAGGATGACAAGTTTGAGAGGCTCTTCAGCATGTATGCAGATAAAGCAAAGCTTGACCTGCAAAGCTTAGTATTTTCTTTTGACGGTGATAAAATTAGTGCTGCTGCAACCCCTGCAAGTCTAGGAATGGAGGATGATGACATTATTGAGGTGCATGTGAAGAAGAGATGACCAAGGTAAGTTGCCGCCCTATTATACAAAGGCATTTAATTTTTAAAAATTTTGTTCTGAGCCTCATGTTTGTTTTTTGTTCTCACTTTGACACAAGTAGATAAATTATAAATAAGTTGAATTTCTGAATTGGGTATATAGTGATGAACAGAAATGGTATGGGAAGTATAAGGGAGTATGCATGATTTTGGTTTGTATATATATATAGCCTTCAGAACCATGATGACCAAATTATATAACTAATATCAGACTCCTTTAGGCGGTCTTCCGAGCTTGATCTAAGTGTGCAGTTTGCTGGTGTGGACTCTATTGACATCTGGATTTTAGCTTTGAGTTGAATTGTGATAATGAATCTGCAAGTAATGAAGACATGCATAAGGAATCTGCATGATAACTATTGCAAGAGTCTCCAACTTTCCGCATTTAACTATTGTGGTCAGAATTGATTATCGGTCACTAGTATGTGCATATGCCTTAATCTTTGGCATGGAAAATCATTATACTTATTTGTACCAACTTAGAATGCGCGTACCAATGTTTACAGAAGATTGGCTTGCTGATTTGTTCAGAATAAGCAACTTGAAGCAAATAAAGTCATCATCTCATGGAGTAAAGAAAGAGTATAAAGGGAGTGTACCTTCATTATAAATGAGGGTATCTTGATTGGTTTTTGTTGTGGACTTAATGTTTGAATCATGATGTGTTGTCTATGATTTGTTGTTGGAATGCATCTTAAAACAGAGCAGATGCAATACTAATATCATGAATGCTGTATAAGATCATGAGTTTCGTGAAAAAACTGTCACTTTAAGAAATTCTGTTTGCCATTGTGGTGGTGCATTGGGTAGGCATACTTTGGTTTGTTTCCTAAAGCGAAATCTTATTTAATAATGTTAAAACAAACAATGCCAAGTCGATTTGGCAATTTGATAGGAGTGTGTTTGGGTTGGACGATTTTGGGTTTTGACTATTTGGATTTGTTCAAGTTTTAGGCATTACAAGGTCAAGTTATTTTAGATTAGGTTGTTGACCTTTTTGAGTCAATTGGAGCTAGGTTTGAATAGGTTTTTTGGGTTCAAGCCAACTTTTGTCTGACTTACCCTACTGTCAGGTAGCATTGAGTTTGGTCCAATTGTATTCAGGTCGCTAATTTTTCAATTGAATTTTGGTTGGCTCCAATTGAGTTTCCAGTGGTTGCAGGGTCAAGACTTTGCCATCTCTACTAACATATTCTTATTTTTATGTTTTCTTATTAATGGATTTATCTTTTTGGTAATTTTACCAAAGGAATTGATGCCAACTCAATTAGTACCTTTATATTTTTGTGTAAATTATTTTTTTTATACTTTATTAACCTTTGATAAATAACGAATTATTAGTATATATCATATTGCACCTTTTGCTTTCTGTTTCAGTATAAGTTTCACTAGTGGTCCTTATTTGCTATATTTGGAGCTCATCTACCCTTTCCAATTTCTTGCAGCCTTAGCTGCTTCAGGACTTGGTTTCAGCTAGTGGTGCTTAAATAACTTTGCCTGTCCCTTCTACACTCTAATGTTTTCGAGACAACTGATTAACGGCGAAGCTGTGCTTTCTTCGGTGTCATCCATTTGGGGGTCTGTTACTGAAGTATATGGTTCACAATTGTACAGTGGGATGCAAGCATTTTGAACATTATTTAGGAACAATCATCTTTATCAAGCTTTTCATACGGGCTTAATCTGAGGAACATGAAATGACCCATACATTCTCAGATGTACTCTTGTGTCTCTGCTTTGATAAACTTGTTTTGTTTGTTTCTTGAAGCCCTGCCAATGAAGGCCTTCATGGCTTCTTGGGTATGTGTATTTGATATTGTAAAGTTTTCTTTTCTGTTGACATAGTGTTGATGGCGTGATAATCTGCAGTTGCAAGTGTTGACTCATTTCCATTAGCTATTTCTGATCAAAGAAGCAATACGTTTTCTGTGCTGTAAGGTCATCAAGTCATGAACACGACTAAATCAAATTTCTTGAACTACTAAGAATATTGGGAAATTCTACAAAAGTTTTATTGCCAGAGCTTGATGAGAAAAAATTAAATTCTAATGATCCTGTGGATCCTAAGACGCTGAAATCTAATATTCAGTGCATATGTATACAATTTCATGTATCTATGTTGGTTATGGGACCAGTAAACCAATGCCGAGCACTAATGATCCAAGAAGAAATAGTAAGAACGAGCAAACCGCAAACAGCAACAGGAGTGTAGTTGAGTGTCTCAGAGGTGATTGGATAGGCAACAGGCAATGAGAAGAGGACAGAGATGGTTGCCACCCAAATGACTGCAATCCAACCAACCAAGATCCCAAAGCGGCCGAGGTTGAAGGGTCCTGGCCTGAAGGATTTGCGGGCCAAAGTCACCCGGAAGAAGATTGGTAGGGCATAAGCAATGTAGAGTCCAATTGTTGCAATAGATACCATGGCCTGAAATGCCACCAAGCTTCCAAGAGACTGCAAGAGATTGAGAACATAAAGGCAACATTATTTGCAGTTAAAGAATGGTAAATAGATTCCAAGAGACATGGTTCCATCTATTAGTTTGACCATAATAAAGGCCTTGGCTCTTTTGATTTCAATGAAGCTCATCTTATATATGTTTACTTGGCAGAGAACAAAAAAAACCTCAAAACAGTTAATCAACAGATGGAACTATGAAAGGAACCTGGATTCTTTTAACCCATTAACCTTCATTGGATTTCACTAAAGCAGTACAAAATGAATTTTACCACTCCAATGCAACAAAAAAGGATACATTTGTATTGAATATTAAGATGGGCATACCGTTAGCGCCATGCAAAATGAGATAAATGCAGAGAGCCAAACTGCATTTATCGGAACTTCCTGCTTGTTCACTTTATGCCACAAAGATGACAATGGCATGGCTCCATCTCTTGAGAAAGCATAAGCCATCCTGAGAACAGATATTTAGTACAAGTGAGTTGCCACTTGACAGGTAAGAATATCCAGGTGATTTGTCTTACAAGTACATAAGATAAATATGTGTACCTTGAGTTGCTAGTAACAGAACTCATACCACAAAAAAATATGGCAATTGCAACCACTCCCAAACAAATAATTCCCCCAACACCATTGCCGTATCTGTTCTTAAATGCTAGGTAAAATATTTCAGCAATAGCATAACCTCCAGCATCATTATTTTCACTCAAAAGGAATGGGATGTTGGTAACTGCAAAGGTGATGCCAAGTAGGTAACCCCACCCAAAAATAATAGATATCCCAATGGAACTAATTATTCCTTTTGGTCCATTCTTATCAGCACTCTTGGTTTCCTCTGTCTGTAAATAGAAGTTGAAAATAAACAAAATGATTTAGTTTCACTTGTCAGATCAAAAGTAAGCAATAAAACTCATTCTTGAAAAAATAATTAAACTCAAAAGCGAATCAAATGGAAGTTTAATTACACTTTCAAGTTGGTGAAATTTTGAGGTTGGTCATGGTTTAGAAAGGAGACCAAAGAAATAGCATGCCTTTTAGCTATCATTTAATTAAGTTTCAAAGAAGCGTCTGTGGAAAAATTACATGGCACCCTGATTAAGTCAAGCTTGAACACATTTATCTTTACGAAGAAGATATAAAAGAAGCATGATAATCTTTTAGCTGCCCTGGTTTTGGACAGCTTTAACGGTCTGTTTTAATGAGAAAGAAATGAAAGAAAGACAAAAACTTACCATATGAGCAGATGCATCATAACCAGTAAGGGTGTATTGACTCATTAGAAGTCCAAGAACAAAAATATAGACTTTACTGTTTATTCCCTCACCATTATCGGTGTTGAAATGAGTGAACACAAACTTGGCACTAGCCCTCTCTGTTGAAACCGAGGGAATGAGGATCATAAGAAGAACAACACCTAAAAGCAACAAAAGATTAGCTGAGAAAGGGGTTATCACTTAAGCCAGAAAGCAAGTTAAGCCCTGAAGTCTTTATACCTATTAGATTCCATGCAGCAGCCAGCTGTCCAAAGAATGATAGAACTGAAATGGGAAGACTGTTTATTATAGCATGTATCAGCAGGATTGCCCCATGAAAAGCTATGACTACATATTTAGATGCCTCATATCCACCACCGTTTTTTCCACCTGTGCTAAGGAGAATGATCACCGAAATTAGTTGTGCAAGTGAGAAATCTACACTTGTTGTAACTGCCCACTGCAAATAAAAAGGTAGTTTATGTGGTTAGAACTTTTTATTGTTTTTGTGGTTAGAACTTTTTTTGTTCATATCTAATTTAAAACAAGATTGGCCTTTTCATGATATATTAGAATGCATCATATACATAGATATCAAAACTCGAAGACAAACCTGACCAACAATGTTGAACCTGCCAGAAAATATAAATGATCTGTATTAGATGCAATGATTACACCAAAGTTAGATATATGTGTGTGTGCGCGTGCGCTCTAAAACAGTAATGAAATAAAATCCTACTGAGTAAATAGACAATCCCAGATTATGGGGGGAGAGGGGCGGTTTTAATCCAATCTCCTATGCAGAATCTCACTAAAATCTACAGAAAAAAGTAGCCCAATATAGAAAGGAGCACCAACACAAAATTGTTTCCCATGGTCTCACGTGAGAGGTAGGGCATAAGCATGCCAAGTACTGAGGTTGAATTACACTCTTAAGACACAAAACGTGCATCCTGGCAGTTTAGCTTATGCAAAGAACACATAAGCACAGAGGTCAGAAGAACAAAATGGCCTAAACTTTAAGGCTCAAGCAGTGTCAAATATGTTTATAATGGGCCTGAAACCTAGACATGGAGATCCCTAGAACCTATAATACATGCTCAAAGGAAGTTTAGTCTATGATTTGATCCAGTGCAATTCCAGTATTTTGGAGCTATCCTGTTCTCTCTTTCATCTGCTTCATTATTTTTCTAAATTTAATATTCATGCAATCTTGAACACAGTTTATATATATATAATACGAAATAGTAGTGGGTTGGTACACACCTACATCAGTGCTTAGAGTTGCAAATACCATTTTAGACTTTTAAGCAACCAAAATAAATCCTGGGACACAAAGGATCAATATGAAGAAAGCATTGACTCTGAAGGGTGTTCCAATTGTTTGAATAACAGTTTTGTGATTAAAAGTGGAAGATTAAATAAGATTATGAGAACGAAATTTGAGAAATAAATAAGAGGCCAGTTTGGGGAGCGGTTGCAATTTATTTTTGGCCAACCACTCTAGCACCACAGTTATGTTATTCTGTATGCACCCTGTTTATGACAAAGAAAAACTAGAGCAGAACTCAAATCTGCTTATAAACAAAATTAAAGAGAGAAGCAAACTACTCACATGGAGCATCTCATATAGCTCATATGCTAAAATATCACTATCAATTGAAATTTGAATGAAGACTGGTCAAGCTTCTAAAATCAATTAATTGTCTCCACTCAAGAGCTTAAACTTCTACACCTAGAACACCATAATTCTTAAGGCCAATACCTTTAACCTAACACCAACAACTAATCAGTGCAAAATCAAAGACGACAATCTCATTCCGGAGGACACTGCATTTACAACAAAAGCCTAGTCAAAACCCATACACTAACTTCCTTATGGCAATGAAAGTCCCAAACATCCATAAATTAGATTACGTTAAAGTCAACACCATCATAGAACTTAAGACAGAAGCAATAACGTTGTGAAGTGTATATGATAATTTATCAAATTAGCCAAAGGGAAAAGAGATATATATATATATATATATTTACCAGCCTGTGAGCCAAGAGGCAAGGGGTGCCCAATTTTGGCCAGCAAGCTTAGCACTCCAATAATAAAGGCCACCAGAAGTTGGGTAAGAGGAACAGATCTCAGCCATTGATAACCCAACGAACATGGTAAAACCACCAGCAATAAACCAACCATAAACCAAAGAGACAGGTCCACCAAAAATCAACCCAGTGTTGTAGAGAGTGGTGATACCGGTCAGCACTGATATGATCGAAAATGAAAACGCAAAATTTGAAAACATCCTGCAAAAATTTTAAAGCCAAAAACCAAAAACAAAAGACAGAGATAGCTCATTTTTTGGCACTCTTCGCAGTTCACACTCAACCAAATTCAACAAGGAAAGGGCAGTTGAGGGATTTTACGATAGATCGCGCTTGAGCTCTTGTTTGTAGCCAAGCTCTGTGAGACGAGACTGGCCTGAATCAACCAAAACGCTGCCATTTGTAACCGTATGAGATGGAAGAGCCATTTTTTCTCTGCCAGAAACCATCTTTGGCACGACAAAATGAAACAATGGAAGACTTTAAGGCCCCAGAAGAGCTTGGTTCGTAGCCGTTTTGTCAAGCCAGAAGACCAATCGAAATCTCTCCGTTCCCTTTCTTCCTGGAGGACCAATCGCCCTTTCCCTCTCTCTCTCCCCCGCTGTTTCTTCTGTCGTTGTAATTTGTTTCTTTATCAAAGGGACATGCAGTAATAACACAAAACAGGAAACCTATGACCGCTGACTATTTTCTGTCAGCAAGCTTTCTGATCATCATTAGTCAAAGAGAGGCGCCAGGCTGACGTTGGATTTTCATCTAAACATAGTTGTCTTTCAGATTGTATAAATGGGTCTGGATGATTTTTCCCTTTCAGATTTGTTTCGAGGAGAAATCAGCAGGGTGAGAGAGTGAGGGAGGTAGATGCTGCAGTTCATTATTTCTACCTGCAGAATCTATTTTCAATGATTCTTTTAAGTTTTCGTTTCCAAATTTGACTAAGCTCCGCGCTGAATACGTTGCGCTCAATTTTTAATATACCACATCTTTATTTATTAAAAAATATAATTTTTTGCAATATTTTGATCCCACTAACTTAATTTTATAAGAATCATTAAAAAATATTGATTGAATCCAGCAAAATTATAATATTCTAACTCATAATAAATAAATAAATAAAACTATTTTCAAATATTTCACTTAGACGAATATAGATTTTTATTAACAAATATAATTTCAATTAAAATTTAACTATTATAAATAAATCATGTTAAAATTTTATGACAAATAACTCCTACCAGACGAAATTCGTAGGATCACAAGTCTTAATAAGACTTTTGTTTTTGTAAATAGAAAGAGAAAAAAAAAAGTGGGAATGATTAAAGGGGAATCTTTTAAAACAAAAAGTAGACGTTGCAAACGGTAAACCACACGTGTTGAATATTGTGCATTTGTCGGGTAGCGTGTGGGAGAGGGAACCTCTTTGACCGAGAATAATTGAAGGGTGATGGTTCCAACACCTCTTTTCATTTTTATAAATTTTGTTTTTATGTTACAAAAACTCAATGAAGCCAATCAACATTTAAGATTTCAATAAAAAGTAATATTCATTTTTTACTATTTCAAACAAGTAAATTTTGTTTTAAAATATTTTAAATAATAAAATAGGCATTTAATTTATAACAAACAAATAACTTTCAGTTTTAATTATTTCTCTCACAAGCTAATGAACAAATAAATGCCCATGAACCCAATTTATGGCCACAAAATCAATTGGAAATCGATTTTATGTGTGGAACTGACACCCCCAAGGCAAAGCTGGACGCATGTAACAATGCGAGCTAAAACATTACTAGTTTGGACTGACTCAATAGAGTCCATGTCCATTTTCTGCATTGTAATAATAAAAAGTTTCTTTATTTATGAGTTTATATATTTTTATATATTTATTACTTATAAGATAAAGTTTTTGAAGTGAATATGTTTTGTATAAGATTTATAACGTGTTATAATTATGAAATCTTCACTACATCTAAACATCACTCTTAAATAGTTCTTAGTTGATACTTTAACAAGATAAAACATTAATAAAAACTAAAAAACTAAGTATGTTATGTTTTTTACTTATAAAATAACTAATCAATTTCATAGATTGGAATATAATGATATTAAAATGAAAGACATAATATTTTTTTAAAAAAAACTTCTAAACTATTCAAGAAAATTCAAATAAGTCATTATTTTTAATTACGTTCAATAAAACCTTTGAACTTTTGTCTTACGTCAAAAAAGTCTTTATAATTAATGGTTGATTAATTGTTAGTCAAAATACCATTTGTGATTCTATGTCACTTCGCATTAATGTGGTATATTGACATGTTATGATGGATGATGATTTAACATGTTTATGTGGTTTGATGATATAATTATGTCTTATTTTCATCTTTCATGTCAAAGTCACATGAACATAAAATGATAAGTGATATTTTAATTAAAACAATTATTAAGGGTGAGCATTGGGTGGCTCTATAAATTTCAATTGTGGAAAAGGCCACAATCGACCAAGTTGAAGTGGCGAAATCTACTGCCACCAATTGAGGCAAAAAGGAAGCCGACCAAACCGTGATCGACCATGGTAAATTTTAACGATTGGTGAGGAAAGGCTAACGGTTATAGCTAACGAGGCAAGGAAAGGGACTAGGAAAAAGGGTTAAAGATTTTAAGGTTTGAAGTCGAGGGTTGCAGTTGTGGGTTGCCAAGAATTAGGGGGGAATTAATGAAAGGGTTACATCTGCAATTTCCTCTTCATATTAATCAATAATAAAAAAATAATAGGTTGCTAGAGTTAAGGGGAATTAATGAGTAGGGTTACCTATGTAATTTCTCCCCTCATATTAATAAAAAAAAGAGAGAAATATGGATCGGTTATTTGATCAATGTTAAAGGGAAGGGTTTCCCAATCGATAGCCAACTAATTAATCACTTAAGCCGAAGTCCTCAATCGAAGCTAATTGACCAAAGTGTTTCTAATCAAAAACTATTGGTTGGGCAGTTTAAACTGGTAGAACACTCATCTCTAACATTTACTAACCATTAGTTATAAAAACTTATTTGATTTAAAATTAATATATATATGTAGACTTCATTAAATGAAATAAAAAACTAAAGACTTATTTAAATTTTTTAAAATTTTTCAAGGGTTTTTCTAAGCATTACACAAATTAAAACATAAATGGTTGTTACAAAAAACAAGTTAATTAAACATGACCCATCAAGAGAATTCTATTTAATTTTCATTTGATATCTCACTCAAGTGTTTATTGAAAACTTCTTATGTACTAATCTAAGTAATTATTAAACTTAAGATCATCATGTTATCTAATTATGTGGCAATTGCTATACTTTGCTATCACTTTTAATAGTCCTAACCAAGTATGAACAATAGGATAAAAGTTAGGTATAGCATGAAACACATCAAGATAAATAAGTGATTCATAAAGGATACATCACTCTAAGTGCTTTAAAAGAGATATGTCATTAGTTCTTGACATGGCTTAACTTAAGGAAACTTTTGGTTCAGGTAGAATGAAGATTCAGAAAATGAGTTTTTTGAATTTCATTATAGAGTTAAGAGGAACTAAAATGATATAGAAAAATATAGAGTAAACATTACACTATACTCTATGTCTTATCGAAGATATTAGATGATGAATGATTGAATTATACAGATAGACTGAGTACCAAAAGTGTTAAGTCAAACCTCTTTGATTTTATTTTTTAAAAAACAACTCTTAATATTTAGGTAGTCATAACACATTACTAGATGTTAATCTTAACTTATAAATATGAAATTAATCAATTAGGAATTGAAGATGAATGCAAATTGTTTGATTCATCTAATCCTTATTAGACTAGGATTATAATTTATATTTATTGCTAATATATTTAAAACCTAATGGGTCGCACATATTAAAGGATTACAAGTAAGAATGTAAATTTGAGATTAAGTTAGACTTAATTGAAAAAGAAGTATTAACTTCTAAGGACATAATTGAAAAGGTTTAATTTTGTCAAAGCAATTTTGTAAATTCTACTATGATTAAGATTAATATTAATATTTTTGCCTATACATAGGAATAAGACAATCTTCGAGCTAGACTTACCTAAAATTTTTTAGAGCCTGTTTAGTCTTCTTCTTTTTTTAGCTTAAAAATTATTATAAAGCTTTTATGAAAAATAATAGTTTTAAAATTAAGCTAAAAATTATTTGATAAATTTGCTTTTTTAAGCTCTTTTTTTATAAATAAGTTGTTTAGTAAAACAACTTATATAAGTTCTAATTTTAGTTAAAATTATCATAAAATATATTTAATAAATAATTTTATATTAATCACGAATTTTTTTACTCACAATGGAAAAAATTTAATTTTTTTATCTATTTAAAACAATGAAGATGGGTGATTTGCAGAGAGAGGAAAAGGAGAGGAAGATTGATTGAGAAAGATGAGAGTATTTTTTGAGAAATAATATTGGGATTATTTTTAATAGATAAGGATATTTTTAAAAAAAATTCTCTTGAAATGATGACATGTTTTTAAATAAGAGAAGAGAAAGCTTTCCTATAAGAGCCTGTTTGGCCTAACTTTTTTTTAGCTTAAAAGCTATTATAAAGCTCTTATGAAAAATAATAGCTTTTAGAGTAAGCTGAAGTTGTTTGTGTTATGAATATTTTGTGAATATTCATTTATGTTATCTATATCTAGATTTAATGTAAATCAAATTAGATTAGGATATAATCCATCTAATTTCTAAGTGTTATCCTCATCCTGTAAAGAGGTTATTTGCCTATAAATAGGCCCTTTTAGTTCATTTGTATACACACACTTCAATAAGATTTCTTCTCTCCCTTAAGTACTTTTTTTCTTTTCTTTAAATATTCTTTCAAGTTATTTTGTTTGTTCTTATAAAGTTATTATTTTTCATAACAGTTTGATAATTTTTTTTTATAAGTTATAATTTTAGTTAAAATTATCATAAAGGATATTTTTTTTAAGAAGGTAATATTGTAATTATCTTTAACAGATAAGGATATTTTTGAAATAAAAATAATTTTTTTTTATATTTTTAAAAAAAGAGAAGAAAAAGCTCCTTATATTTTTTAAAAAATTTTATTCTTTAAAAAGAGTTATTTTTTTAAAATTTATGTTTGGTTTGACTTTTTTTTTAAGAGATAGATAAGTTTTTTTAAAAAATTTTATTTTTTTAAATTATTATTTTAAAAAATTTTCAAAATCTTATTTGATATGATTTTTACTTTTAAAAATTAAATAAATTAAAAAAATTAAACCAAATAGACACTTAGTACTATTATCATAAACACGTGGCCCTAGCAGCACAACACAACCTTTCACGTTTAAAATGGACTTATAGTGGCATGGCCCAACACTTTTTATCTATTTTTTTTCATGTTTTTCAATAAAAATAAGATTCATTGTTCATAAAGAATCCAATAAAAAACCATAAATAATTATTTTATAAAAGTATATTGAATAAAAAGTCAAATTTCCATTAGTGTTTGTAGAAAAATCTAAAAATCTGTTTTAGCGCGATTTAAAAAATAAATAAATAAAAAATTAAGCAGTGCTTGGCTTGACGCTTGTTTAGGCATGCCCGAGCCGGCGGATATACGATGGCCCATGCAGCCATGGGTCGTGTTTGGCGGCTTAGCACTCAGTCTTCTGGAGTAGTGCAAGGCTGGCAAGACATACATACTATGTACTGCCAGGCTAGCCACTGTAGTGTGCTGCACCTCCATTTCACATGGCACATTGTGAACGTTGGGATTAGGCACGAGACCTACTCCATGTTCAAATCCCAATAACTGGGCCGTGAAACGACTACTTACTCAGTTAATCTATTGAAGCGATATACAGGCGTCAAATGGCTTAGCTTGATTTTATAACAATAAAATTGTATCATATAAATGTAAGTTTGATATTTTTCAAAAATTGATAGATAAAGTTGCAATCCTTAAACTTCTGTTTGCCATTTTGTGAAGAACAGAACTTTCATGAAAGTACACTTTAGTAGACCTGTCAAAATGGATCTGACTCATAAAATCGGTTCATTTTTTATTAAATATGAGATGGATTGGATTAGAAAATTTTAACCCATATTGAAAGCGTGCCTAAATGGGCCAACTCACCAAATTAGAGAGTTGATGTGGGCAGGGGCAAGGCCAACCCTATGGGTTAAAAAAAAAAAATTTAATTAATTTAATAATTTTATATATTTAATTATGTAAAATTAATAATCTAGTTACCAATTGTTTTGTTTATTTTATATATTTCAATGTCTTTAATCTTCACTTATCAAATTAAAAGTTTTAATTTAGATTAAAACTTATTATCTCTTTTTCTTTTATGATAATGAATATTAGATAATAAATTGATAATGATTCAGACCTTGAGACATCATTGCTGTCTAAATAAAATTTAAATATTTTACTTTAGAATGAAAATTTAAATTTTTATTATTTGGTTATATACTTATGTTTATGAGATAGTAGCTTGTGTTAAAGATTTAAACTTTATTATGTAATTTATTTATTTTTTTATATTTGATGTAATTTGTTTATTTGTAACATGTTTTTATTATTCAATTTATGAATTAAATTATAAAATAATTTTATTAATAAAAAATTTATCAAGTAGAATTACAAAAATTAATTTTTTTTTAAAAAATAAAAATTAACTGACTCAACTTAATCCATAAACTAATAAAAAATAAGTTGAATTGAGATTTTAATGACTTATATAAAAAATGAACTGATCTAACTTAACTCTTATTTTTTCAATCAATAAGAGCTGAGGCGGCCGGATTAGACGGGATCAACCCATATCGACAACTCTACACTTTAATAAAAAAAAAAGAAAACTGTGACTCTTTTTTTTTGAAAGAAAGAAAGCTGCGAGTCATGTGCCGGGGTGGGCCATGCCCTTAGCCTTCATGGGTGTTGTTAGTATGGCCCGTTAAATAACATTTCTTGAGCTGACACAGTTAACACATTGGATGTTTATTTTAACAGGCTGTGCAAGCCTAATATTGCTCATTTGACACCTCTAACGCATAGGAATTAGGAGATCTTTGAAACAATCTCCCAAGATACGGGGGACCGAGAACTTTAGAGACTGGTTGGGTGAATTGGCCTTTGTTTTGACCTTAGGTTTTGCTCAAAAATAGGCCCATGCATGAAACGTGGGGTGAAGTTTGCATCTTCTGGTAAATAATAGCAGATTACACCGAAGTGGTAGGGTGCATCATAATTGAATCAGGTTGTAGTTTTCCATCTTTTAATCTAGTTAACAAATCTCAAGTCTAAACCTGTAACACTGAAGTCCTACAATAAGCTTAAATAATAAAAAAGCTCTTGAATTATATTGGTTTATGCAGCTGAGTCTTATATATTTTTGTATCCAAAGAAATCTGTGTTTTGATTTGTATTTAGAAAAATCTTTACTTTTTTATTGTAAACACATAAATCCTTAATCTTGTAACAAAAATTAATGACTCGTTAGATTTAATATCAATTAATATTTTCTATTCATATGACATTTAATATGACTTGATAGCATAGTTACGTGATAATTGAAATTATTATATTATTAAGTTATATCATGACTTACGAGAAGTGTAAAAGCAAAAAAGAAAAAAAAATACACTTTATCTTTTCATGTGATTTTATCATCAAGTCACATTATATGTCATATGATAAATGTAAAAAAAACAAAAGTAAAAAAATACATCTTTAACTTTTTATGTGATTTTTTCATCAAGCCCATCATATATTATATGAATAAAAAATACTTATCGATATTGAATTTTGATGACAATTAATTTTTTATACAAATTAAAGTTCATGTGGATACAATAAAAGAATATGAAATTTATTTTTTTGGGTGCAAAATCAAAAGATAAGAGTTTTTTTGGATAGAGTGAAAATACAAAAACTTAGTTGCATAATTGATAATTGATATAATTTAGCAATTTTTTTTATTATTTAAGCCTTTACAATACTTGAGTGAACAACTCCGGAGATGGCTAACCTGGAAGCAAAATGCATAAATAACAAAAATAGCAGAGAGTGATAGATCTATAGACCTAAAACTACCTACCCAATGCTCACTAAGTGCCTTACCATTGCCTATGCATGACCAAAAAATTAGTAAAATCCAGTCCAGCACAAACAGATCACAGCAAATGAAAGATCCAAACTCCAAACAAATAGAGGAAAATTAACAGGAAAGCAAGGGCCAATGGGCAAAGCTATGAGAAACTTACCAACCAGTGAACCAGGCAGCCAGAGGACCCCACTCATTGCCACTCAACTTGGCACTCCAATAGTAGAGTCCACCAGAAGTGGGGTAGGCAGAGCAAATCTCAGACATTGCCAGACCCACTATCATAGTTAACATGCTCACTATGGGCCATCCATATATCATTGTAACAGGCCCACCAAAGGTCAGTCCTGTTCCGTACATTGTTGTCAGCCCTGTGATCACTGACACGATGGAGAAAGTGACCGAAAAGTTTGCGATCGCCCTGCACACCACCGCCACCAAGAATTTCATCGATTAACAAGGAACCATTTCCTACTCCTAGGAATCCAGGGAGAGATTCTGTTTTTTTTTTTGCTTTTTTGTTATAATAAGTAAGGCATTATTTCTGATTAAATGGAAGTTAAACTAAGTATTTCTGATTAAAGAAAATGATATTCCAAAAATGTGCAGGAATAGTAAGTGAGAGTTCATGCAGAAAGAGTCCAATTATAGATGAACAAATTCTCAAGATTTATAAAAGGTATTACTAGAAGGGGAAAAGGAGTATACATACGTGAGGCTGCGACTAAGTTCTTGCTTGTAACCCAGCTCTTTTAGCCGGGCGTCGTCGGAAGCATTGGCTTCATGTTCCCGGAGAGGGAGGTACGGCACTGAATCTGCGGAGACTCGAAGTCCGGTATCCATTTAAGAAAATATTTTTGGTCGTAAAATGTTCAATCGAGTATCTCTTACTACAAAATGGAAAAGATTGTACATTATAAAGAATTTACAATCTCTCAACCTAACAGTCAAAAAGGGGGTTTGAGTGACAAGTCCATAGTTCCAATTAGCCACGTGCATGAAATTATGATAAATTGAGGCAATAATTTACATTCCAGCTGCCAGCTGCCAGCTGCCATTGCCAACTAATGCACCTCTCCTTGATTTAAGATAGTGGACAAAGTTGGTTGGAGATAATATCAGTCCGTGGCTACTTTTGCAATATTTCACTTAATTTTAACTATATATATATATTATTAAATAATACGGCCTTATTTTCCAACTGAACTCATTTATCGAGGGCAACTATTGTGAAATTCGAATTTTAGAGTGCACTTTCAGTCCTAAAGTATTAGTTATGAAAAGGTCAATTAGTAGCTTTACAAATAACTATAAGGTTAAGTAGCATAAAATAAAAGAAAGATTAACACAAAAACTTGTATTCATGTTGGATCCAGACATGTTATTCTTATACATCAATGTAAATATTTGAGTATTTGATTCAACAGCATATACATATATGTTATCTTTACATATACAAATTTTTAAACTTTACACAAATAAAACACTGTTAATTATTTTCATGTTAGCAAATAAAATGATTGGTATAAATTTGGGGAGTCAATGAGCCGAGAAAGTGGAAAGATCATTATTTTAGTCATCAATTAAGCAAATCAATGAGGGAGTGAGTGGACTTGATCTGGTCCTGGACAGAAACCAAGCAAAGGCGAAACGGTTATACATTAATGTTGCAAGAGTCATATTACTATATAATTAATAAGCGAGACGATAAATATCAAAAATTTGTCATTATTCTATGGTTTAATGTTGAATTTTACAATTCTACTTCACTTGCGTTAATTTTGTCAATATGCATTTATTTTAGATAAAATTTAATCGGCAAGAAATATTTTATTTATGTAGTTTAAAAAAGGTTAGACAAATAGAGATTATCACATGAAAGTACATATTGGACAAAAATTTACACATGAAAATTATTTGCACACCATTTTCTTCAAATTTTTAGATTGTCAGGTCATTTTCTTTTCAGTTTTTCTTTTATTGCAAGCTCATTAAAAAAACCCAAGATAACAGTTATGTGACTTGACATTTACTAACCCCTCCATCTTTTTTTCAATTCAAGTTAAAATAAAAGTATAATAACAAAGATTTACCTCAATGGAAGTATAATAATGAAATTTATAAAGTGATAAATTTGATAACTATTCTTATTACAAAGACTAAATCTCAAGAGCAGAAGAAGATTTGTTATGATGAAATGGGAAGTTAGTGCAAGAACATTTTCCTAGTGATGAGGTCGTCAAAGAAAAGGTTTAGGTTTTCTAGTTTCCGATTAAGGGCCTTTTTGCAATTTGCTTTTTGTTTTTGGAAGCCAAAAAACACTTTTCAATATGGAAGCAAATAAATTTGTTGGATTGTACACAAAATATGTAATATTTTTAAATGACAAATATGTAATTTATTTTTATATAGATTAATTATGTTATATAAGTAATATTAAAATTTAAATTAACTATGACATTAATTTTTCATTTTTATTTTTGCTTTGGCTTTATAAGAATTCTTCAATAGGAAAAGTAAAATAACAAAAAGAAAATAGCGAAAAGCATATGATATTGTTTTACCTTTCGATTTTTCTGTAACGTTTCTTCAAAAGGAAAAAGGTGAATGGTAACAACATGTAACAAAATTATCAAGCGAAAAGGATATATAAAGAAAAAAATTCATGATGTTGGCCATATGGGCCAATATAGTTGTTTTCTAGATAAACACACAGATACACACACATATATATATATATATATATATAAACAAATATATATGTCATAACGTATGAGTTTGAAAACCCATTTATTTGAAGTAAAAGAATAGTCGTTGAGAAATTTTTTTTTTTACGTGTGATTGGTCACCTATTTGAATTTATTTTTTTATAAAATTTTAAGTTTATTTAAAAAAAAGTTCTAGCTTACGAAACAATTTTAGAGTTTGAAAGTATGGTTACACATAGAGAAGGTATTAACATCCATGCAATGCTCATTCAAAAAATGGTATCAATTAGAGTAAAATACCCTAACCCCTTTAAGTTTGATTAAAATTATATGAAGGTCTATTACTTTTCAAAATAGACATTCTGCTTGAAAAAATATTTTTCGCTAGACAAGTAAGTCTAGCTATTAGTCAACCGTTAATATTTTTGTCAACTTGCTGATGTAGCAAGGGTAAAAAAATAATTTTATTCTTAATTAATTTTTATAATTACTATTATATGATTTAATTAAAAAAAAGCTCCCGATCAGGGTAACACCAGTGATTCCTTGGGAACTTTGATCGGGGCTTCCAAGGGAGCACTTGGTGCTCCCCTCCTTTGGGAGCACCGATAGATACTCTTTTTTTAAAAAATAAGAATAATTTTATAAATTAAGAAAAAATGATATGTTAGTCCTTTTATAACTTCTGTTAACGATGTTGTACTCTTGAGGCGGAGTGTCTATTTTAAAAATTAATGAACTTCCGTATAATTTAGATAAAAACTTAAGGGGATTACGGTATTTTATCCTACCAATTAATTATATGTTATACTAACTTAGCCTTAATTAATGATCATTGACTTCATCTTTGTTTATATTTTTTCTTATTTATTTATTTATTTCTTTCTTTCATTTTTCAATTTTTTATTTTATTATTATTGTATTTTTATTATTTAAATATTAAAAATTTTGTTAAGTTTCTCTAACACTTTTGGCAAAAACTAAGAAAAATTTCCTTACCTCAAAAACATCAAAGAAAATCACTTATTTTTAATATTTGGGATAGATCACATTTGTATTGAAATTTATTTCCAAATTCTCTAGCACTTGAATTTAAGAAATATTTCTCAACTAGAGATTTCAAAGAAAATTATCACTTATAACAAATTGAAAGATCCTTATTTTTTTTTACTGGGGAAGGGAAATCGAACCCTATTTTTTAGATAGACGATAATGCACCAATCAATGAGCCAAATATTAGGATGCAATTGAAATATTCTTACTTATTTGTATTTATTTATTTATTTTAAATTTGTTTTATTATTTTTCAAATAAATAAAATTCCTTTGAGAGTGAAATTTCTTTAAAATTTTCCAACACTTTTGGTAAAATTTAAGAAAAATTTCTAACCTAAAAATTTTCAAGATAATTATTACTTCTAACATGTTTGAAATTCCATCATTGGAGAATTTTTATTTACTTATTTATTTACTTCATTTATTTATTTAAGTTTATCTTATTCCTTTTAGAATTTTTATATATTTATTTTATTATTATTTTATTTATTTCAAATTTGTTGTATTTTGTTTCAAATAAATAAAAATCTTTTGATATTGAAATTTCTCCCAAATTTACCAACACTTTTGCTAAAATTTATGAAAATTTTGTCACCTGGAAATTTTCTAGAAAATTATCACTTATAACTTTTCTGAAATTTCATCATTGGAGAATTTTTATTTATTTTTTTACTTACTTACTTCATTCATTTATTTAATTTAATTTTATTTCTTTTAGAATTTTTATTTATTTATTTTAAATTTATTTTTCAAATAAATAAAATTTTTTTGTATTGATTTTTTTTTCAAATTCCCTAACACTTTTGATAAAATTTAGAAAATTTTTCTCACCTAAAAATTTTCAAGTTTGTTATCACTAAGCTCTTCAAATTCCGTTATTAGAGAATTTTTATTTATTCATTTGTTTTTTAAAAGTAAGGACATAAATAAATATCATGATATAATTCTAAAAAAAATTATGATGGTACAAATTTTAAATTACTAAATATTTCTAGCTTTTATTTTAATTATTATTTTATTAGTTTTACTATTTCCACAAAAAAGAATTAATCTCTCTTCCCTTTTTAATTTGTTGTCATTTCATGCAGGGTATATACTCTTTAAACTTGGGTAAAATCCAAAAAACTCCCTCAAAACACATCAAAATGACACTTTGGTCTCTCTTGTTTCAAAATGATATTTTTGGTCCCTTGACTGCTAATATCGTTAGTCAACTGTTTAAAAAAAAAATTGTATCCAATCTTACATAAAACTTTTAGAACACAAATGTCCTTTTAAAAAAGATTCTGCTCATGTTCCATTTCAAAACTTAATAAAATTCAAAATTTGATAAAGAAAAAAAAAATCAAAACTTAATAAAATTCTAGACAGTAGTTTATCATTACTTAATCAAATTAATATTTGATAGAGAAGAAAAAAATTTTAAACTTTTTATATATAGTAATCAAGTTAAAATCTTTTTATGTTACCCTAATCCCTAGTATCAAAGAACAAATTTTGGGCAAAACTTTTTTAAAAAAATTAGTAAGATATTAATCTCTTGACCCCAACTCCGTTAAATTTGAAATGATTAAAATACCCACTAAGTCCTTGTACTCATGCATTTAATTCAATTTAGTTCCCCTACTTAAAATCGAAGCAATTTAATCCTTTGATTTAGAAAATTGCTTCAATTTAATCTTTTCCCCTAGCAACATTTAATTTTACTATTAAAGGAGATGGCGTCAATGTTGATGTGGCACATATTGGTGATGTAATAGTGCCACGTAGCACTGATGTGATGACATGATAGTGCCACGCGACACTGACATGATGGTGTGGCAATGCTGATGTGTAGATGCCACATGGTAGATCGAGGAAAAAATTTTTTTAAAAAATTTTGTATTACATCATAGGGATTAAATTAAACAAAAGTTTATAGTATAGGGATGAAATTAAACAAAATTGAAGTGTTTAGGAACTAAATTGAAAAAAAATTAGAAAAATATAAATCTTTAAGTAGATGATACATATACTTATTAATAAGCCAAATTTTAAGTTTAAAAGATTCATGGTGTTAAAAAATATATATAAATATTTTCTTAACTTGATCATTTGATTCCATAATAGGTAAATTAATTTATCTATTTTGGCAAAAATTAA